AATTTTGGATTTTCTCGTAGATTTTGACTAAAAAAATATTTAAATGAAAATTTTGTTTTATTTGTTTGTCTTTTCTCCTTCTGTAATCGCTATGTTAAAATAAAATTTGTAAACATACTTTGTTAGCAAATATGATCATTTATAGGCAATTGCCAATACTTTTTTTATCCACTGTATATATATATATATATATATATATATATAGCGTTGAATATCGGTGGGCCTTGACTTATGTATGCTGCGAACAGCTCATAGAAGGCCGTATCCTAATATTGAAATAACTTAAAATATTTAATTTAAATTTTGCTTGAATATTCTGTGAAAAAATTTAATGTTAGAAACTAAATCCACGTTCTTTTTATTCTGTATTTCAAGCCTTAATCCATTAGAATATAAATCCCCGATATGAAATATGTGTAATCCCTTTGTGTAAGCTAAAATCGATATTCCACTGTTAGTTTTACTTCTTCTTACAACTTACAGGCTTTTGAAAATAACGTGAAACAATCGGCACGTCACACAAGGCATTCGTAACTATGGCAACGGCTTTAAACAGGGCTCACGCTTCTTTGTCTTTTTTGTAGCAATTCCTCTCTTTTTCCCAACATGCAAACATCGTATTTAGTAGAAAGCATACGTTTCCATGAAAAGTCTGAAAAATGAGGTTAATAGGAAGGTCCGTGGACCTTCTTCGAATTCAAAGCACATCAAATCGTACTCGGTATTCTCACGAACGGGTTGATTTATAAACACTCCCTTGTGAAATAAAGCAGGTCAAAATAATTTTATTCACAGAAGAATAAAATTAGCAATTCAAAATTATTGGTAAAAAAATGACACATTTTACAGAAATTTAACGAACTTCCATTGATTATTAAAAAAGATCTATTTCTAAAATTTCTAAACATATATTTCATAAACAGTTTATTATTTTATATTTATAAAATTAAGATTAATTTTCTGATATGAAATATGAATCCCAATGAAATATTGTAGTAACAGGTGGGCTGAAAGGTTCATAGGCTGACACATAGATGGCGCTACTAGTATTAAATCCATATGATTAGTTAGCCCTAACCTTCAAAAGACACGTGTATAAATTTGACAGTTGTTTCACTATTATTATGTGAGTTATAGCATTTTTAGTGAAGTTATAGCATTTTTAGTGTTCATCACGTGCAATCCACTCGGCTGACTGTCGATTGGACTCCGGTGTGAAATGATGGAGCCATGTTTCATCCATTGTCCCATATCGACGCAAAAATTTGGGTTTATTACGATTGAACAGCTCCAAACACTACTTAGAATCATCAATTCGTTGTTGTTTTGGGTCGATTGTGAGCTCGCGCGGCACCCACTTTGAACAGAGCTTTCGCATTCATATTCATTCACGATATGTCCAACACGTTCCTTTGTTATCTTTAGGGTCTCAGCTATCTCAATCAACTTCACTTTATGGTTATCAGAAATTATTGTGTGGATTTTTTTGATGTTTTCGTCGGTAACAGCCTCTTTGGTGCATCGTCCTCGGTGCTCATTTCGCCTCGTTTAAATTTAGCAAACCCCTTCTCTACGGTTGATTTTCCTGGTGCAAAGTCCGAATAATGTTTATCAAGCCAAGCCTTGGCTTCAATAGTATTTTTTTTTTTGCCAAAAAGGCAATGCTTTATTAACACACGAAATTCCTTTTTATTGATTTTTTTATACTAACAAAAGTTGCTTCACTAAAAATGCTATAATTCACATACTAATAGTGCAACAGCTGTCAAATTTATACACGTGTCTTTTGAAGGTTAGGGCTAACTAAAAATCATGTAGATTTAATACTTGTAGCTCGATCTATGTGTCAGCCGACTAACTTTTCAGCCCACCTGTTACATCGTACTAAAGATAATCCAACAGTCTTTACGAAAATATGTTGTTGTGTCCTGCAGTGTGGGACGGATATCCCATGAATAGTCATTGATAGAGGGAAAGGACCAGCTACTGTTGTTATCGCATTTGGATGTTTAATCTATTGATATCTCTGTTTTAAATCGCTTTTATTACAATTGTGTTGTTTCTTATCCCACTTGGTTGACAGCAACATCTAAGTCAAGTCCATGAAACCATGCGTTCTCATGGAAGAAGGGAAAGTGGGGGCAGCTTCTGCTGTTTAAAGCTCTAGTAAACTGGGTTTTTTTTTTTAAATTTTATTGTGTCTAATCCTCAGTGTCTTGCCATTCAGGGACGGACATCCTATGAGTAGTCTACTCATGGATGGAGGAAAAGGGTCAGCTTCTGTTGTAACGGAGCACCCGTAGCTAGAAGTCTGACTTAGCTCGTTGAAAAAAGAGGGCAATGCCTTACTGGAGGACTTTTAGAGGAAAACTACTCTGAATTTGAGTATCGTATAGGAAATTGGCTTAGTTTGGTTTATCGCTCTACGGTCATTTTGTGCATACGAGGGCTAAACAAACTGGACCTATAGTTTAAAGTGGATTCCGAACCACTCACAAACCATGCAACCGCTAGGATTCGAATCTGAAGCCTGTGATATCAAAGGCCACAGCGCTAGACACTTGCCACCAGGCTACTATTGTATAGGAGAAAACCCGAAAAACTCCCGAATCCAGGTAGTCAGACTCACGAGGCAATAAGCTGACTATCACAAAGGTCATTGAGTTTCCTCTTTTTTTGAAACAGTGTCTGCAACACAGCCACTAGCGGACTGAATTTCAGCCCTACTGCTCACCAGCGGCGCATGTTGCCACGAGTCGGGTTTAAGAAAGCATATATATATATATATATATATGCTTTCTTAAACCCGTATATTCTTTCTTTCCTTCTTTGTATACACTCAAGAGCCAAAACATTATGACCACCTGTCAATAACGAGTTGGCCCACCTTCGGCGCGCAACACACCTTCAACCCGCCTTGGCATGGATTAATACCACCACTTAATACCAGTTAAATACCAGATCCTCCTGATCACGTGCCTTCCATGTCATCCAGGCGAGTTCATTGCAAAATGTAGGGATGGTCATAATGTTTTGGCTCTTGAGTGTATATATATATATATATCTTACATCAGACCTTTTAAAAAAAAAAGTACGAGAAGAAATACGATAAATATTCAGTGCGATACCTGCTTTCATAAAGTGTGTTTATAAAATTTCTCATGCATTCATTTTACGTACATAAATAGAGTTAACTTTATCTATTGTTGTATTGATGAATTATTGTTGTACTGATGAATTTTTATGACGCAAATCTTCATAGAATATCGAACAAATATTAATGGATGGAATTATTTTAATATATTTAGGTTCATACAACATTAGAGTTAAATTAGGTGCCCAAAGAGAATGGTATACTGAAACAGACTATTCCCAGTTTAAAATAATACGAAAATGTGTCCGATAGAGTCAGTTTTATTACTGTGACCTTAATTCTGGATAAAAATTAATTCATAAAAAAGCTGATTTAAAATACTATATCGATTTTTAAATATATGGCTTTAAATAAATTTATTTGCATAATGTTGCTTAGACAAAAGGGACAAAGAGATTCTGTTTCGGATATTGCTACGAGTACATCGCCATTAACATTTGAATACTTGAATGACCTATCGGCAACATAAAAATTCAATATGTTTTGAAGTGTCAGAGTATCGGCTAACCATGATAATATCACTCATGGCAACAGAAATTTTTATCTATTTTTCTGCAAGCCATTTTGAGATCGATGCATATTGCTTATGCTTTTTTATATTTGAATAAAATTCATTTGAATTTTTATAAGGAAGCAGAAAAAAAAAAGCAGTTTTCACAAAGAATTGAATTTTTCATTGAGTAAATAGTATTGTGAATGTATTTTTCAAATTATATAGCAATAGAAACGTATAATTTTAGAGCTATTGCAACAATAAATAAGTGCTTTCTCTTCTTATTCTAATAAAATGGATGAAATTTATTCACTATAACACAACAATTACTTTATTCAACACAATCACTAGAGGACAAGACGATGTCTTATATCTACACCATTATCTACATTACACCATTACACCATTTACCACCTTAGTAGTCCCTCTACATATAAATATGTGTTATTTAATGCATCTAACATACCATTTGCTGACTAAAAAAAAATCATTCATGTAAAACTACTTAAGAACTTTATTTATGCATAAATTTAATAATAAAAAGTAAAGTATTGCAGAATATTTAAAAAATATTAAAAAATATTATGTACTCGACGTAATATTTCACAGAATATGTGCTTCTATTTGCGCAAAATGACAATATTTTTTTAAGAAATATTCTGTGCAAAGTAAGTTTTTTCCTCTCTTTCTTTTGTGGAACTCTTTTGTAAAACTTGCTGTGTTAAATGTAATCAAACAATTCATATAAGCCAATTTATCTTCATCAGCATATAAACTGTAATTTTCACTATGTCAAACAAAAATACAGAAAAAACATTAGAAGACTCTGTCCCCTTATTGCAAGAAACTCAAGTATGAGCAAAAAATAATAAACTTCTGATTTTCACCTCTATTCTCTTCTCACCTATGTTTGCCCGGTATGAATCTATGCCTCTAACCATAATACTAAAATGTTGGACGCTCAAAAAAATATATCATTAAACAAATAACGAATGCCAACTGGTTCATGAGAAACGATGATATTCAAAGATCCATCTTCCTGCTACCTCTAAAAGAATAGCGGAAAAAGCTTTCAAAAATGCTCTTCAATAATATTGACAACCACCAACATTTGGCCATTCAAGAGATCGAACAATATGAACCCTACTTTAATTTTAAAAGACCTAGGAATATTCTGCTCTAATCTCTTACCTAAATTGAATTTTTGAATTTTTACACTTTTTTATTTTTACTGACTCCCTTTAACTTCTGGGCATTACAAATGTTTTCATTCTTTTATATTTTGCCACGACCGGAGATGAGGCCCCTGACCGGGCCAGTCAGCTCCAATAATCTTCGATATTATCATCATTTAGCACCCATTAGCTCAGTTGGTTAGAGCGTCGTGCTAATAACGCGAAGGTCGTGGGTTCGATCCTTCCATGGGCCAGAATTTTTTTAATTCATGCATGGTACGCCGCTAAATATCCTGCTATGTCCTTGCAGTGCTTATGTCCTAGATCTGCTCAAACGGCTTTAGCTAGACTAAGGACTGGCCACACTAAGAGTTTGACCTTCAATGGAGACGAGAAGACATATACCCTTTGCCATTGTTCGGCCATCGCGTCTCCCTTTCATCCCATCGATTGTATTGGTGCCTCTGTGAGGCAACTGTTGAATGAGGGACACCGTTTATGATCTATTGATGCAGCATGATATACTGGACTTGGTTTAGGATTCTAAATCAAGGGGATAAGCAACAACAACATATAAACCAAATTATGTTGACGTTAAATCAATTAGACCGAAAAAGAATCAGAGAGTATGGTTTATTGGAATATACTATACTAATAGTTAGCAAATCTCTGTGGAAGGTATGAATAAAATTCTATATGATTATCTAAACTTTATCTTTTTAATAATTTCTTTTTTTTTTACATAAGAATATCATTTAGAATTTACAATTAGTTCTAACATATTTATCAAATTTATTATATTTTTCAAATTCAAATTTGTTTTTCTGATTTCTGAATCTGAGCATTTAGTGCTCTAATATAATCAACGCACGCATCTTTCTTTGACCTCCCCCCCCCACCCTTTTTTTTTGTTCAATTTCTAGAAGTTTTCAAAAACTGCAGATGACCCTTTCCTAGGTGATTGAGCGACAAAGAAGATTCTTATTGTCGTTTTCGGGTGCCGGGCACTGCGACCAGAAGTCATTCGTTTCTAAAACATGAAATGTGTTGGAGATTAACCCTTTGTAAACTTGAAGATTCAATTTTATCTCATTTTAGGAACTACAGAAAATGAGTATTAACATCAAAGGTAAATGAGTCATTGTCGTAAATATTCAAATGGATTGTTAAATAGAAAATAGTACAAATACTCCCGAAGCGGAAACCATTTCTGAAAAAACGAGCAATTGAAACTTGTTTTAATTTTAAGACTTTTTTGTGTACCTCTTTGGTGGGCCTCGTGTTGCATTTATGTATTCCATGAAAACCCCACCAAAGAGGGATTAAGTGAGTGAGACATTACCTTTTGGAACAGCTTCTAGAGGTAACTGCGTCTCATTTACTTGTTATATAAGAGAAAATACGGTAAATTTTAATCAGGAAACGTGGCTATAGATACGAGACGTTTATTTAAGATATCACAATAGCTATTAAAAGTCAAGAAGACTCGGAAAACAGTAAAGGCCAGTGAATTCGGACCTAGCCCAAATTATTAGCAAATTATTTTTCATCTATAATGAATAAGAGGAATAAATTTAATTATCTAATTTCATATCAATCTATAATAACAACAAACAACTTCCTAACTTTTCTGGATTGTAACCTTTACCAAACAGTGAGAATTAAACCGCTTAAGGTACTAAAACTCTTGTAGCATTTTTTTCATGGGAAGAGTTTTGGTATTTCATTCCCAGGAGAGAGGAATGCATATTTTTTAACAAATACATAATAATAACCCATCACTCAATTTTGACAACAGATAAGCAGTGTTGTGGGTAGTTTTATTACATGCAATTAGTGTTTTGTACTAATGAGAACAACCTGTCACTCAAACCTGGTAGCAGATATTCGGTATCATGGATAATGAGATCTTATGAAATTAGCGATTGTCCGTGCGATCTTCACAGGTCGAAACAATTGCAGATGGAATATGAATTAAACCATGAGCTATTGCATCGTGATTGGTGATAGGCTATAGGCTGAGAAAAAGTCTACTCCAATGAAAAGTGAGGGAAGCTGATCCCACCCTCTTTTTGATGGGTTTTCTTCAAGGGAGTTCTTGGAGAATTAAAAAGAGAGTTCTGCGATGAGTCGATAAGAGGTGTTGTTTTTCTCTTTTTCTAAAAGTGATTGAACAGGCCGGAGATTCGACCTGTTTACAAAATGAGCCCCTTGTGGTCTCGTGTATCACGCCGTGTGATAATTAAGGTCTGACGCAGACCACGGGTTTTGAGATTCGACGTAGACTCGAGAACTCTAAAAATCTCCGACCTTGGAGAGAACTGCACTCGTGATCAAATTTATAATTTTAATTTTCATTTCTTTGTATAATAACCCAGAGTTCTGTACATGTATATATATATAATGCTTGTAAATGAAAATTAAAGTGTTCCCATAATCCTGAAAGTGGCCTTCTTCTTGAAGCCGTTACAGGTCTAGTATAGGCCGAGACATTGCACTGATAAATAGAAATTCTCTTTAAAGTACTTACTACTGTGTCCAAAAAGTAAGACCAATTTTCAATTTAAAATTCCTGGGCTTTAAGGAATTTAATTTTTTTTCTTTTTTAGGTTGCTGGCTCTGTCCTTGACATCTGTGGGAAATTTGGCGTCAAAATGGTCATTAGTTTTTGAGTTACGCTTGGCTTTGTCAGACGCTGAAACAGATTCCGGCAATTTTTGAAATGTCTCAATTAATTGAGCAAAGGTCTTGCATTAAATTTTGTTTGCGGAAACATATAGAATGTTGCAGAAGGCATTTGATGAGCATTCCTATATCGGAAAGAAATGTTTAGAAGTGGTATAAACGGTTCAAAGGAGGCAGAGAATGCATTGAAGACGAAGAGCCCTCTGGTCGACCCTCCACATCAACCGACGAAGCTCACGTCCAAAAAATTAAAGATTTGGTGCTTGCAAACCATCGATTTATAATTAGAGACCTTGCTGATGTTGTTGGAATTTCAAAAGGATTATGCAATTCCATTTTGGGCCTCAAACGCGTCAAATCTCGATTGGCACCGGAAACAGGGTGAAATATGGGTGCTATGTGACAAACCTTCCCCCCACCCCAAGACTCCTTGGGTAATACTGAATTTGCTACATGTCTTCAGTTCTAATAGCGAATGACGTCGAAGCATCCGAACAAAGCATCCGAAATTCAAAACCTAAGGATTGCAATATCGGACCAAAAGTTCAATACCGGTATTTTTTTGTATTTTAATACTGGGATACCGGTTTTAATACCGGTAGTAGAAATGTCATTGGTGCTGTCATTTTTCTTATAATTTTATCCAAAGTATCTTTTTTTTTTTCAAAATAATCTAAAATCCCTGATGGCTTGGGCTTAGAACTGAACTTAAGTTTGTATATTCATCGCAATTAGATTCTTTCCTCTTTAACAAATTTGTGTCATGTTTCGTTTTTAAATGTGTATGGAGTCCGCTTGTACTTCATTCACTTTAATAACTCTTGAACATTTTTTTACATAGTGCCACCCTATTTTTTTCATCATATAAATAATGAAACCAAACCGAAATGTTATCAACTGATTTTTTATGTTCTTTAAAGTTATTCTTATTCATTATTATGAGGTATTTATTTATGAGTGTATATGTAATAAATCTGAAAAATATTTGCAAAGTATAAAATGATTTGCAAAGTAAGATATGCAAATTCAATGTGAATAATAAACTCACCAATTTAAAAAAATATCGAAATATTTCACACTTTCTTCACAACTACAATCTTGTTTTCACAGATAAGAATTCTGAATAAGAATTCACAGCTAAGAATAAGAATTTCACACATAAGAATTCTTTCACAGATAAGAATTCTAAATTTCTAGTAAATACCGAAAAAAACGGAATTTAAACTTGTGAATACCGGTATTACAAAATTGTACAAATGGCTCAAAATACCGGTATTCGGTAGCCCGGTATTGCAATCCCTACTACTAACCATTGTCGTTTCCGAAACAAATAGACGTCGTAAAGTATGATGTAGATGTGGAGAATTTTAAGCCTAACAGTGATGAAATTAATAATACGAAGACTTCAAAATGCACAAGCATCAAAGTAACTAAAAACATTATTATTATTCATTACTATCGTTTATTTTCATGTGTGAACACGGTGTTGTTCTAGTATGAGCTCCATGGCAACTTCAGAATGAACAATTGCGCGGAAGAGAAAAGTAAGAGTATAGGAAATTATTTAAAACAGATTAATATATTCGAGTCCCAAGAAACAAACTTTTATTTAAAATAAACACGAATTTGCCAGATGATTTAAAATTTACATGAAATATGTATTGCTAAGGCTAACGATTTGCCACTATCAAGTCATGTGCTCTGTATTACATTTTGAATTATTCTTGCTGTTAAGTTGTAAACAGATTATTTCAAATTTCTCAAAATATTTATCAGTTATGTTTATGAAAGTAGATTTAACCATCACTTAACATTACACATACTCAAGTTTCGTTGAGGGAATAAGTGATGAATATATTTGATAAACCGAATTCGTGAATGATTTGAGTTTTTCTTTTTCTTTTTTGCTTATTATTAAGAATTATGACATGTAAAGCTTAAATTTTAGATTAAAAGTTCATTTTGTATTTATATTTTCATTTGCTTGTTGTTTTTTCTTTAAAATTGAAAAATCCAAACTGACTATTTCAAAAACTATAATATTCAGTAAAAATTCTTTGATCTGTAAGGTGTTCCATTTTAGAATAAAAGCTGGATTACGAAACCTCTCTTTATTCTTGACGCTCTGTAACTCATTGGAATTATGCTAAAACTTCTTTAAGGATTGATCTTAATTCATTCTGCGAACCATATCCATTATGAACATTCCCAAACATGAATTTCCAGGAACATTCCTCCTCAGTATGGTGCATTAACATACGTTCTAGAACTAATTTTTCAAAAAAAAAAAAAAAAAAAAAAAAAAGAGAGAGAGAGATGAAAATTCATTGATTCTGTTGAGTCCCATCACACCATAATATTTTATAACAATTCCAAATTTAATGAATTTCGAGCAATGAAATTCACATTGTGTTGTTCATTATCCCTCTTGGTAGATAGCAACATCTAGACCAAGTCCAAGAACCCGTGTGGCTTCATAAAAGGAAGGAAAGGGACGAAGTAGCTTCTATTGTGATCGAGCACCCGTATGTAGAAGTCTGACTTGGTTCCGTTACGCTGACTTTTTACG